GCGAAATATTATTCAGGTGTCTTCTTAACCGGAATGAAACGTGATATTTTTTCGGAAGTTTGATAATAAGCATTGTGTCAAGCAAAATAATATCACAGGCTCACGTTTTTATTTTGACGATTTCAGTGAAGCACAACACTTTTACGGTCTCTTGAGAACAATAACATACATAAAATACATTGTTTCTAATCGGGATCATACTTTTTGCAGGTATGAGGTCTGAGTGATTTACCCATCTATAGAGTTTATTTACAATTTTAGTTCATCTGCTGTTACGAATGCAGCTCCGAAAAAAACTTAAGGATCCCAAATGTTGACTCCATGACACTACATACATTGAAATCAACTCCAATATTTTTCTCATTCAAGTTGAGGATTCGTTTCAATTTTGAATAAACTAACTTCTTTTCTATCGTCCAGTGTATGCATAAACATCGTGACATTTAGTCTTACTTCTATCCAAAACAAATCGGTAGCTCATGGAGTAACCAGTTTCATCAAACCCTCTGGACTGTATGAGTCGTTTATGATAAATTAAGGTTTTACCATGACCTTTTTGAAATCAAAATATTCAGAGGACAGCGGTTATAAGCGCTTAGTCTGTCGCCACATATCACACAAGAATTGAGGTTTCAAATTTATAAACCGAATTTACTCAACTGTATCAATGCCTTAAAGGGTATGTGGCACATTATTACTGTGTGAAGTAAAATATAACTAAGTTTGGTTGTACGTTACTTGCTAGAAGTCGTATAACCGTCGTCAGCATCATAACTAGCACAGTTCAGGTGATAGACAGATGTCACCTTTTCAAGCTTAAAACTTTCATGACACTATTCTGTGGATGCAGCTTGGACAGTATCACTAATGAATGAGGTTTCCAATAAAATTCACCGTTCACAAGTATCCAAGTTATAACACTATCACTTGAAACCTCTATTTTTACCGTTCTTGTACTTTTCCATTTGTCCTAATCGTAGAGGCGGTTTCCATTTGCTGGACCGTGCTTGTATTCTTAAGTAATTTGGTACATACAACTTTAGTAATCTTATGCCCCTGAACCCTGCATTATCACACTTGTAGGACTTTCACTTTGAATCATCTCAAAATTTGGTTGTTTACCGCATGTGGTACTGTAGTGCCATTACAGGTTTTTTGTCTCTAAACGACTTTTAAATTATGACTTTGCTGGGGTTTCATTAACTTCAAATCCAACTGATGTCAACACAGCACTCTGATATATGCAAATAAGATATCTTTTCTGGTGCGTTTTCTGGAACAGATTGTCCATCACAAGTTGTTTCCAAGTGAGTTTATGAGTTTATAAGTCAATTTCATCCCTGTTTTGCTAGTAATCTCACACAATATTTTAAAGATTCCCAGTTTCTGTGATAAAAATAATGATGTCTTTCATTTCCTCTTCATTGCACTGCCTTGTTCCATGGTAGAATGCCGGCCAAACACGAACATCTCCTGAGAGTCGGTTCATGACCCAAGCCTTCCTTAACCTCTCACAAATAATGGTCAGCTTTGGGAGAATGGAAGATCTGGCGTGAGGCCATTAACTCTGAATGACCGCTGCTGAAACTCAAATCCAAAGTAGAAAGTACATATATATTACATATCTATATTTCACATCTCTGGGTTGTCTTGATTTTGTGCTTCTAGTGTCGTATTCACTTCCTAATTTATGCGCTACATCTTGACATAAATATTCTTTTATTCTATTAATTTTACTTATCATGAGAGAATGAAGTGACATGAAATTCAAATGCTATTTTCAGCATTTCGAGTCCTCTGTGAACAACATTTTCTTTTCGCTTTTCACTCCTTCTCTAATATTATTTGTCAATCCAGTATCCAAAACTAAGTCTTAGTTCCTAGCTATGGAACTACAGCCAGATCCGATGTTTTTCAAGAGGATAAGAAGTAACTATTTTGGATAGTACGCGTCACCCAGTGCTGCAGTCAGAGACGTTACCACTGAGCTATTCGAGCTTGTGGTTGACCTCCTGTAGGACTGTAGTGGATATTTTGGTTGGACAATAGTAACTAGCCTCATGTGTCTAGTCCTTTCTTCGCTGCAGACTGAATTCTATCAGTATATAAAGCCGAATAGTTAGTGAGACTAGATATAAATATCAATGCACCTTGCAAATGGTGTTATCCATTTATGTTTTATATGATAACAGAGAGAAACAACTTAAGCAGTCCCCCCAAGGAACTGAATTGTCAACAGACAATGCCTATCGAAAATGCCTCAATGGTCGAAACATTTCTAGATATATTTTTAAATTCGTGCATTGCTATTGATCTCAAAGGTTCACCGTATCGAATTAGTTTCTTCACAGGATGCGAGAGAATCTTCTGGGGTATATAACGGTTGTGTCGAATGAGTTCCATACGCAGCGAAGCGAGACTAAGACCGTGCCTGCAGGAATGATTTTTGACGTCTTCGTTGAAAAAGACATGAGGTAGTATAAATCCTGAGAATATTTTCTACAAAGTGACTAGATACTAGTAGTAGGCAGTACTGGAAACTTTGTATATTTATATTTTTATATGGCTTCTACTTCACCTATGAGATAACCAGTTGCATCGGGAATTACAGAAATCAGTGGCAAATATTTCACTTATTTCCAGATAATTAGAAAGGGATTTTAGTGTTGACTCCTGAAACTTAGTGATGATTAGTTGTAGCCTTGCATATTCAGATGTCACTTTGAAGACCCTTCGATAGCATTGTGCTGGATCATATATGTATATATACATATATATAACCCCTGAGTCACGATAATTATTCTAATGCTTGAAAAGTGGAGGCTCTACGTATAAAGCAACTAATATTTACTAATACGAAGTCATTCTGACAAAGGGGAATGTTTTCTTGTACCACAGTCCTAATGAGACTTCTGATTTTTACTTTTACGTTTATCAGCGAAGCTAAAATTCCCGGTAATCTTCAGTGATGCCAAATAATAAGACTTTTTAACTAGTTGAGGCAAACTGATGATTGTGATGAGGTCGTATTAGCCAATTGATTTCTAGCTTATGAGAATGAGGAGTTCATTATTGTGTCACATACCTTGTTACTTTCAAAAAAGCAATCATAAATGTCAAGAATGAGGGATTGAAATCTTTTCGTATTATATTTGTTTACTCTTCGACACCATTCAGACATAAAGTTGGATCCAAAAGTCATAAAAATGACGATATGCGTCAGGTCAGTCTTCAGGATGAATAATGGTCGATATCATTGGAAAGCACCAGGCTTTTACATGGAAATAATAATTTTGAAATTCATGAAACCGCCAATTTCATCCTATTGATTCACAAAGATTCTTGTGGCTTTCTAAAGTGACCTATTTTATTGTTTTCCAGAGGGTTTGTTTAGCCCCAGTATCATGAAATTCGCAACCTTGTGTCTGACATTCTGCTTTAGTACAATTACCTAACAGTTTCAGTGAAATACAGCATACAATTCCCAATACACGCAAGGGGTTCTGCTGAACTGTATCAAATTATTCATCAAATCTTAGAAATATGTCGTACGTCAAATAGGCAAACTTGTTTTCAACCAACCATATTAATTTATTTCTGAACTGAGAGAAACATAAAGAAAAACCATCCCGCTCCAAAGCAAAAAGGCTTGAAATATCGGTAAACAGTAAGCTGATTTCAACTTGATACAAGCATCCATTTGATTGCCCATGAGTATCAACATCTATAGGAAACAGACATGACACTATCGATATTAATTAAATCAGAAATAGTTTAAAATTCCAGTAGTATATGAAAGTAAACTAATATAATATACAACAAAAGCACAAGAATAAAGTAGTCGTGTCAGTCTGATTATATTTTTTGGGCTTCTTACCGCATAACCTTTAGCCTTTCGTGGAAACCCCTAAGTTTCGGAAACTTATCTGACACTCGCGGAGTATGTGAATGATGCTAGTAAGAAAATCTGTCAATATTTAACTGATAGGAACAGAATCGATATCGGAATCAAGTGTTTGTTAGCATCAGCTCTGTCGGAGTGGTGTTTAAGCCTCCACAACCAGAATGTAAGACCTGATTGTCATATATGCACGCAGATTGCCTTTAAAACTGATGTCATCTACAATTATGCAGGTTATATTCAATGAGACTGGACGATAACTCACTCAAAACGAAACTTAATCCCATGGAAATATGCAGGACAGAACTGTCACTCATAGTATGCATGCGTAGTCAAATGTGAAAATGGTGGTGAATAATGAGGAAAAAGAAGGCACTACCTATCTCTTATGCACCGTTTTCCAAACGTTCCTTGAGACACTTTCGTTTTCAATGAAATCCAGTCTGTATAAACCCAGGAGTTTTACCCTCTTCAGTTTATTGGTGAAAGTGCAGCAGAATAAGTCCCTACAAACCAACACGTGAATATCAATGCGATGCTCTCTAGTGACTGGCTCTATTCAGGTAGGTAGTTACCTGGGGTTCCAGTGAAAAGTCGTGACCGACAGGGTGCATCAGGTCGGGTGTGAGGATAAATACTCGCTGAAGGAATTTACTAGTGGTTGTGCTATATCGTAAGTTGGCAGAAGTTAGAATTTATGGGCCACTGAATCAGGTCCCAGAGACTTAATGGTATACGAGCTTGCCTTGTAACCAGAAGATCCTGGTTTCGAATCCCTGTGGGTGCGTATTGCTTAAGAGTCACAAGCTAAGACGAAACGGCTGTCCAGTACTCCCAGGTTTTCCAATGGTTCTCTAACTATTGTCAGCTCATGATGATATCTTGTAACCAATCAACCAAATCTCTACAAACCAACACTTGAATATCAATGGATTTTGTTGACGTTTTCCAACACACGAAGGAAATTAACCTATAGGACAGTCTGAGTGCGTTTGAAAGTGATTCCATCTATCTAATTGGTAGTTTGATTCATTGAGAGGGAATAATGATACATAAAACACAGTAACATATTTTTGAATTCTTCTTATTTAACACTTACAATGAATATTGCAACGCTGAAAAGTAGTCCAGAACAAACGGGATATAAAACCTGGAAGAAATAAACAGCAAAAATATATTTGTGAATAACACATAAAAGTATAGTTACTCATCTGTCATTCCTCCTCTGTCTACATCCTAATTTACCTGTAGGGCAGTTTCAGCCGTTATCAAATGATTAGAGTCACCGTATTTTGCGTCGGTGGTACAGTGGTTAGGACTCTCGCCGACCATGCACATGGTCCAGGGTTCGAGCCCACGCCGGCGCACACCTGATATCTATGGTCGGCCTGCAAAATTTGGGCTACCGATATCCATGCTGAAAATTCCATACTAGTACCAAAAATACAGTGTGGAATCAAGCTGTAAATAAAAAAAATAAAAAAAAATAAAAAGATGGTGGAAACCAGCTTTAATTTTCAGTTTCTGACTCAGTTATTATTGGAAATGCGTCTTACTGAACTGTCCTTGATTGACGATGGATATCTCTTAAGCAAATGACTCAAATTGTGGTCTACACTTATAGTGTCTATCTTCTGGTGACTTCTGGTATTTGCCTGCATCTTCATCTGTTTTGCCGTTTGCTAAATGAACCAAATATGGCCTCAATCATCGCTCAGGTAAAAATTCTAGATTTTTATTTTTATTTTTTTATTTTTGATTACAGCTTGATTCCACACTGTATTTTTGGTACAAGTGTGGAATTTTCAGCGTGGATATCGGTAGCCCGAAATTCGCAGGCCGATCATGGATATCAGATGTATGTCGGCGTGGGCTCGAACCCCGGACCATTTACATGGTCAGCGAGAGTCCTAACCACTGTGCCACCGACGCACATTTGGAGAATGCATCTGCATTCTTACATGAAATTCTAAATTTCTCCTATCAAATGCTCCGTTGAGATAGCATGGAATATCTATTGAAATGACTTTGCCATAAGCCACTAAAAGTTCAGTCCTTTCGATATTATTTTAACCCTTTATTTCTGTTATTTTACCAATGCTCGCACTGAAATCATTTTTCTAGAAACCAATTTACTCCAAATAATTTTTTACAAGCAAATGAAGCGAAGACATACATTATAACTCGAGCTATACATCACCAGTTGAAATTCAATGCTCTGTTATTTTCCTCTTAGCACCTAAACAAAAAATTAGTCTTTGATCTGGACCACGGTAACAGTTTTAAGTGAAGTACAAGTATACCAAATAGGATGTTATCACTGCAGAAATACAATAAATCAGTGGAACCAAGTGAAAATGCTAACTGTTCGGTTAGGTATGTATGATGCAACGAATTATATTCACAGAAAGTGATTCAATGTCAAATCAACGGACTCATGTAAGAAAGAGGTGAAAACAAGGTAGTTTTTATGTGAGTAAATCAATCAATTACAAGATATGTTTACCTTTTTCTGTTGAATAACATGACCCACAAACCAATCACTCCACGACATTTTAACAGTGTGTATGTATGAAGGAGTCTGCTAACTGTGAAACTTACGGTTCGCAGGATGGGACAGGATTAAGAGTCAAACGTTTAAATGACATCTGGAATGGCGGTCATTCAGGTTGTGGTTTAACTATAAAATTACCAAACAGTCACATTATGGCATTTTAAAATCAATTATTTTTTGAAGAATAGGTCTCCAACGAATGGTTACTTACACTGTAATGAAGTAAGAAAAGAAAGATCAAAGCACACAATATAAATCCACAAGCTATGCTTATTAATGATATCCAGAGTCTTTTTGATATTTTTGGTATCATATAACCAAGAAATATGGCTGCCACAGAGGACGCTATCTCCAACAGCACAGCCAGGATATTATATCCTATTTTTATCCCAGCGCATACAGCAGTAATGCCTATGGAACAGAATATAACCTGAAAATGAAACAGAATTCTGTCATAGCGATACATTCTATGAAATGTAACAAGCTGAATCACGCGTATTCAGTCTTTTAGTCTGCGCATATGCACGCATTATGTTCAAACACCCGGTGGGTTTTTTATTCAGTCAACTTCTGTTCACATACAGAGGTTAAGCAATGAAGTATGTAGAGTGACTTTCTTATTTATATTTCTCAATTTAGTAAGACAGTATTTGTAACAGAATAATTGTTTAAAAAATCCAGCCTGAATGATCTTATTACAGCATTTCATATTATCATTCCTTTCCCTCCCACAATGCATCTCATACGTTGACCAGATACTTATTATTTATCGTCGTTCCTGTTTATTCTCTTATTGTGATACTTCTCTTTGTGGTTGTGTGATGATATTGATGATGTGTCGTTTAACAGTTTTATTTTGTTTGAGGGAATAAAAGGGATTCGGACCCTGCGTCGTCTGCATGAAGTCCGTGGTGAGATTCCTGATGACAAAGCTTTGATCATAGCCTACTGCTTGACTGTAGAGGACTTCTTATGGTTGAATTTTGGCCGAATAATTTTATTCGACTGTAATTATTTTGTAAGAGGCACCAATGTGATCTGGAGCCTTAAAGATCTATCTCAAAGCATTATGACGCACTTTAAGCTACAAGTTTTGCTTAGGCGTTTCATTATGTCTTGATGAACTCAGTGAAAATAACCCTGCTTAATATCTCAAAATAACAGGATCATAATACCAGCGGGAATAGAATAAAATCATCAGTGTACGCCTAAATGAAAGATGCAAATACAATCCTGTTTTTATCAAAATGAGCCTTAAAACGTTCGTCTAGGTCAGGTTTATTATTTCTTGACTCAGAATTGCAATCGTATTTCTTCATTGTTTAGTCTAATAAAGCCGATATAATGGTCGGCTTCAAGGGTATTCTTGCGACTACATTTGTCGTTGAGAAAATGAATCTACCGTCATAGGCTTTGATAGAAGCTTGGTCAAGAAGCTATTCACTGAATGCCCGAATTACAGTCGTTTATCTGACTGTTTAGTTACATGTGTATTTAAAAGTTTTCCACCTATGATGATAGGTCATAATCTTCTACATAACAATCACTGCCTACTAAGGCATAATTAAAGATAACTTTGTATGCCTAGTGATCACTTAAGCATACATAAAATGAAGAAGAATCTCAAGACACCACCTTAAATCACACCATCTTGTGTAAAGCTGACAGAGATTCCATCAGTACGAAATAAACTTCACGTACAAGTGATGTTTTATTGTCGTTGACAAATTTAAATCGCTGGCTGTCACAATGGGAATGAAAATGTCAGTGTTATATTGTTTTGACACATTCCCATGAACTCCTTATGAAAAGTAGCAGCGTATATTACCTTTGCATGTGGAGCATGGAGGTAATCAAATCGAATTTGTGCGTAGTTGCAGCTGCAAACTGCAATTTCTATAACCAGCAAGACTGATGATGAAAATGAAAATCTTTGTAGGTTGCTTTCAATTGAATCAAAACAGCCGATACAGTTCGCCTAATTGTGATAGACAGAATAGGAAGGTATTTTAATTTTAGTGAACTATTATGGCCAATAAAACAACACCTTGTAAATCAGTACTATGAGTGGAAATAACACTTACAGTTAATGCAATCATGGCGAAGAAGACGAGACGATGTTGAGATAACTTTGTTGCGCTTACAACAACAACCAAAAATAGTACTGACCCAATTACACTGCGAAGAAAAACGAGAACAAAGAAAAACGCATTTCACTGCCATATAAACTTCGATGTAACTTATTTATTACCAACCATGACGAAGAAGCTAAATTTTCATCACTTGTGGACAAGCATGTTGCCGTCCTCCTGTATCATCACGCGCTATTCTGCACACAGCTGATGTATATACCATTGAAACAGTTTTGAATGAACTTTCTGTTTAGATGTGTTTATATGATATCAAATTTGAAGAGGCAAGTTTTAATGGTTTCCGGAATGTAAACAAAACAAATTTCCTGTTGATTAAAATGTTTGAAGATGAATTATTCAGTTATCACGAATTTCTTGCAAAGTACCAGTTTTTCCAAAAAAGTAACTTACAATAGAACAAATGGAACGACAATGTAATCTTTGATGAACATTTGGAAACTTTCTCTGTGAATTAAGAAAAGGGTTATTGATTTCGAGTAAATTATGAATTGTCTTACATGTCACATATCAACTGGGTAATTAGAATAGTCATGAACATCAATATGGTGGTGTATATAGTTAACTAAACATGTCTAATAACCCAATGTAAACTTCATACCTGCAGAAAGAAACTACGAATCGACGAAGACTTTTTGTACGACAGCTAGAGTGAAACAGTTTGAACTGAAATTATTTGAAATTACCACAGATATTTTCTTAGAACGAAGCATATCTAAAGGATCTGAAAGAGAAAGCCACATGTCAATGAGAATATTCTAGTACTGGTTTATAGGGATTTGACTGATTAGTTACTTGGTTTCATCATGAGCTGACATCTGTTAGAGAACCACAGGAAAACCACGTGAGAGTACTGGACAGCTGTTCCACCAGCCTAGTTTGGGACCCTTTAGCAGTACGCACCCACTGGGATTTAAAACCACGAACTTCATTGACAAGGCGAGCTAGCTCGTGGACCATTGATCCACTGGGACTAAGTTCAATGGCTAGCCCATGAATTCTAGCTTTCACCAATTTACGACATATCGCGACCATTAGTCAATGTCTTCGACAAGTATTTGTCTTCACACCCGACCTACTGCACCCTACTGGTCATGACTTCCCACTAGAACCCAGGTAATTACCTAACTGAATAACGCCAGTCGCCATGTCGTGAATCGGCAGAAGTCAGACTTCATGAGCTGACCACTGAATCTGGTCTCAGTGGATTAATGGTCCACGAGCTAGCTCGCCTTGGAACTGAAATTCCTGGTTTTGAATCCCAGTGAGTGCATACTGCTGAAAGGTCCCAAACTAGGCTGACGAAACAGCTGTCCAGTACTCCTATGTGGTTTTCCAATGCTTCTGTAACAGATATCACCTCATGACAAAATTTTATAACCAGTCAATAAGAATATTTTGAAACAACGTAAATTTCATAGCACAGAAATGAAATGGATATTTCAAAGTCAATTTCACTGTGCTCATGTATTTCTAACAGTCGAAACAAAATGAAGAGGAGGTCGAATATACAGGATTGAGATAAGCTGGAGATCTGTGGATGCTCCTTCAAAAGTGGCATACATAACATAACAGAAGCACTACTGGTCACTGCATGGTAAAACTCAAATTTATGATGTTTCGCTGACTGCATTATATAGTTGTATTGTATAGCAATAACTGTCCACTTTCTCAATGTCTTTACGGATAATTTCAGCTTCAAATCGACCGTAAATCAGGCAGATGCTGACCTATATCACATCTCGCCTTATTCCACTAAAGCATTTATCACCATTTAACTCTCCCATTTTATTCCAACGGCCTACCACGTCTAGTTATATCCGATTTTATCTGGTAACATTAGCAATCATTTAGATATAGATAAATGGTCGCATAAAAATAAGAAACAAATATAACAACACTTTTAGTTAGTCAACATGGATAATCAAAAAAATAGAATTACTTGTATTCATTTTATTTTCACTTCATATACCTTAAATGTATTTTGTGATTTTATATTTCTTATATATCTCGTGAATCGTTTAGCTTAAATAACATCAAAGTGGATTCGTTTACTTTGTACATGGGGTAAGAGAAACATTGTTCTGTGTGCATATGTTCAATATATTTTACACAACGTTTATAGCTAAAATCATCACATTCATAGTCTATTACTTTATTTCCTGATAACGTGCATTCTTTCACAATAACTTTTAAAACAATGCTGTGGGCGATTCTCTTCATTAACTTGAGGGATTGACTATATCGAAGTCACATTTTTTCATATTTGCAAACAGAACTATATATATTCATTCTGACCAACACTAAAAAATACGCCATACATCGAATATATTTTTTCTGCCTACTCTTTTTTTTACTCAGTGTCATAAATCTCTGCATTTTGAAGTTAGATGTGATACAGAGAAAATTTTTCATTTTCGATTTCATAATTTTGCTTCTTTGTTTATATATAACCACAATACCTTATTCCCAAGCTGTACTGTCACAATACACTTAAGACAAAATGATAAGAAGACGTAATTTGTCTGAATCATGTAATGTCGTATTTCCGCAACACATTTCAAACAATCTGATCACACACACGAACTTGTCATAGGAATATATATATGAAATTTATAAAGAGTCGAAAGATGAGAAAATAGACAAGTAAGGTCAAGTTAAAATGACATACTGAAGGTGAAAATAACAATGAAGATCACTAAACCAAATAACAGAGGTAATAGCACATCCGTCCTGGTCGGTATCAAAACAAAATTAACCAGGTAAGGTTTAGTGCGATGTTAAATTGTTGCTTTGAATGCATAAATGGGAGTTAAACTTTCCAGTTGCTAGCTAGGGTTTCCATAAACTTTAGGATACGCTTCAAACACATTTTATAGATAGGTTGAAAAATATGTAAACTTCAATTTTATGTTTTGTCTCTATAATATATTTTGCAGTGGAACAGCTATGTCGTCTCTTCTCAACATTAATGGATTTCGGGGATTCTAATAGCTTCTGTAGCCATTTAGGAATACACCCTGAAGCCAGCCCTTGTTTGCAGTAATCAGTGAGTCCTTCGAATGTATGTGTGGCCACATGTGCATCCAATTTGGTAAATTCATTGGGATGTGACATCATTTTCCCCATGTTCAAAGGGTTTATATGGATGGATATACTGGCTTCACAGTTTGAATGATTTATGATCTTAGCTACATAAAAAGACTTTTCACAACAGCGTTCAATCTCTGTCTAGTTGTCGATGTTGATATGATCTACTATTTTGGATGGCTTGGTGTACGCGTCCTTCTTAGGGGGGAGTTGGAGAGTGGGTTTCGGCGTTCTGACTACTTTATATCCCCTGATGAACTTGTCTGGATAATTGTTATCAGTCAGAGTTTTTGTCAATTTTTTTTCTTCCTCATCAATTGTGTCTTCAGTGCACATTCGTTAGATTCTACTGAAGAGGCAACTCGCTGACTAAGTCTCACTAAAGCTCCGAACAGCGCAGAAACTGTGATAATTAAGATACTGTCCTGTTCCTGTTAGGTTTACTATAAATAGATATTTTTATTGACCCATCAAGCCACCGACTAAGCAATATGTCTAGGAAAGATAAACAGTTATCTTCCTCTTCTACAGATGTAAGTGATAAGATATTCTGAACTTCATTCGTTCGATTTAAATTGCGGTGGCAGAACGAGACTTATCACTGATTATTACAATATCATCTGTCATACCTTCTATAAAGTGGCACATTTTCGATTAAATCCTCCGACAAATTCTGAATGTACGACATATAAATATCTGCTAAAAAGGGCCCCAACGGACTTGCCACAGCAACACCATCAACCTGAGTGAAACAATCGCCCTCAAATGTAAACCTAACGTTGCTAGTAAATAGAAGTAATAAATCCGTTAAATAAGATATACATTACGGAAAGAAAACACTATGTGTGGGAATGTAATCACACAAAATGTCAACTGTTTTGAGCAAGGACACATTAGTCAATATAGAGTTTACATCATAAGAGTACATATATTATTCATTATATTAATATCATCGAGAAAATTAACCAGTTCAAATTTATCTTTTAATACAAACATGCACATTTGTGTTTTGACTGGATGCAATAATTCTACTAACCATCTATCAAGTTTATGTGTTTGGGATATCCACATTGACAATATAAGACGTAGAGGATTACTGTGGTTATGTGCTTTTGGTAAACCCTACATATGTAGGAGTTTACATACACTTTGTTTGTACAAATAGACATAAAAGTTAGCCATGTTTTTTTTAGATTTCCTCCACATTCATCAAATCCGGATAGTTCACATCGTTATCGATTTCAGGCTAATTGAATGCTTCATTTCACTTTCAACGGAGTGTGTTTCCCATCCCCCACCCCCCCAACCAGTTGAGCAATAGCTTGGGTGTCCCTACAGTGTGTCTCTCACGCCAATTTTGAATCTTTTAAGCATCGTTTTAAGATCTGCGTGTTAAGAAAACATTTGTCTGGTTTATGAAATATAACATTAGTGTTTAAAAATGTCTTCAAATACTGAATGAATGTTTATATTGAAGAAATTAATTGTGACATTTTACTGCCTGATAGAGATTAGTGAGGCATAACTTTACTATCTACTGTATATCTGTTTCATTATTCTTCCAGTATCGTACGAAATATACTGTGATATTCCTATTTAGAAAACACGCGTTTGCGAAACACATGCAAGCATATGCATATGAGCAGTAAGTCTCTAGTCAATAAATTTCGCTTATTGAACAGCATACATATCATCCAGAACTATCATAACGGTATTACATAAGCTTGTATGCCATCCACATGAAGCCTCTCGCTACTTATCAGTATCTTTTTAACTGTTTCTGTGACTCAAAATGCAGATATACCTCCTGATACGTTTGCAAATATCCTATATATGACATTTACAACGGGTAGATCTGCATCTGAAATAGACAAGATTGACAGTTGTTCTACAAGTTTTGTTATCTGATATCAGCCGAAAATCCTTATGTCATCCAAAACATAAATCACAAAACTGTGAAGTTATATAACCATAACAAATGAAGATAATAAAAATGGTAAATGAGACACTCTAAATAGATATGGTAAATCACAAATGTCAGATTAGTGACCTAATTTTGTGCTTTCCTCACAAAAGGGAAATAGGAAATCTAGATATTCATAGAACATTTCCACAGACATGGGGTGATGAGTACTATTTCATGTCCAAATAGTTTGTACACTTTTATTCTGGGTCACTTCACAAGTATCTAGTACAGCTTACTGGCGGGTTATCAGGTAAGTCCAGTCTGTCGAATATACGCCGATGGAGTAAACGCAAGAAACTGGAAATCAGCAGCTCAAATTCAATAGATAATTTGAACAGTCTGACTGTCAACCATTGCTGCGACTCTTATACGCATACTGAAGCTCACATCTATCAGATTAAATTAAATTTTTATAATCGGGTCCGAATCTAAATTATCTACAAGATTAGTGCCACGTTTTTGACATGATATAGGGCTAGATATTTGTATTAGAGAAAGAAACGACTGACTTCAAGATCTAATCATATCCATCTACACACTGATCGTCTAAGGCTGCAGTGAAAAACGCAAATACTGGTTATCTGTAATATGACTGATGATATGACGTGGTAGGACTAGTGCTCTGACTACAACTGTTTTAACTGCTAGTCACAACATCAGACACAACA